CTGGAATTTTTGCTGCCTCCTGGCTGTGTGAACTGGGGAGAGTTGTTTACCTTCCCTGAGCCTCAGTTCTTTTATATGTAAAATAAGAGTAATGGTTGTAAATATTTTTGTGAAGATTAATGAGAGGATTCACATAAATTACTTGGATTTTTTGTAAGTACTCCATAAATATTAGTAATTATTACAAATAGATGAAGATTTACCTTGATTAATATTTCTCAACCTTGAGTCTCAGTTTTTTCATTTAAATTAGGAATCTATTTAATTAACAGATATTTACCTGGCTCCTGGCACTGGACTGCAAAATACTGGTGGCTACAACAGAGAATAAAATTCAGGGAGTTAATAACACCTACCTGCAGAATTTGTGTGAAAATGTAATGAGATAATGTATAATTGAAGTATTCCTTATGCTTTCTGGCATACTTTATTCATTAAACAAAGGTTAATTTCCTTCCTTTCTCCTTTTTTAGTTAGTGGAAGTGTCTTATTTCCCTTTTCTATAAAGTCTAAATGTAGTCATTTTTTAACACTTCAGTAGGGCGGCCAACGGAATAAATCATTTGCTTTCCTTTTACTTTAATCCAAATGGTATGTATTGATGAGATATGATTTATTAGACAAATCACATACAACATGCTAAATTAGTTTGAATTAGATCTGTGTAACAGAAAAGAATAGGAAAAAACCCGACAGAAATGTCTTGTTCTTATGGAGTGTCATAACCATGTGTGTGCTTATTCTCCAGTATGGAGTTGCATTAAAGACTTGTAATACCCAAGAACAGCTTTTGGCATTTCAGCTATTGCTGCTCAATACAGCTGCTCAATAGGGATTGGAAGACAGTCATAGATGCGAAGACAATCATCTAAGAAACATTTAAGTGAAGAACCTCCTAAATAATACAAAGGGAATATCTTTTGGCTCATTGTTCCCTCATCCCTGCTACCCCCCTTCCATGCCCTGTCCTTTAAAAAGGACTGAAGGGGGCTTCCCTGGTGGCGCAGTGGTTGAGAGTCCGCCTGCCGATGCAGGGGACACGGGTTTGTGCCCTGGTCCAGGAAGATCCCGCATGCCGCGGAGCGGCTGGGCCCGTGAGCCATGGCCGCTGAGCCTGTGCGTCCGGAGCCTGTGCTCCGCAACGGGAGAGGCCACAACAGTGAGAGGCCTGCGTACTGCAAAAAAAAAAAAAAAAAAAGGACTGAAGGTTAATTCAAGTAAGGGTGACCCGATCATGGCGCCTGAGTTCCATATAACTGGGAGCTGCAAAAGGGACTCAACATATCAGTGACAGATGCTAGGGCCAGGGAATGAGAAAAACAGAACCCCTACCAGAGAGCCTGGATCCAAATATGGAGGAGATGGGGCACTCTTGAGCAGGTATGCACCAGTATGAATATACCCCTTTGTTTATGACCAGCGTCTGTTCTGGTAGGTTGAGGTTTGTGCTGTATCAATTCTTAAAAATCTTGAATAGTTACATAAAACTATATGTTCCTAGCCTGAGAATTGTGCAGAGTGCTAACTATCAAATTGAGAAGGGAATTAGGAGGAGGGAAGCAGGATGGAGGTGACAATGGGGTTTAGAAATAACAGATTAGACTCAGCGAAACCAGAATTGGTTAAATTGAGCTAGAAGCAAATTGAAGAAGAAGACCTTGCAGTCTGGCTTTGAGTATGGGGTATCATTTGAAACTTGTCTTTTGGGGTTCATTTGAGGAGGAGACTAAGTAAGTGGTTGGCCTCATTAAAGTATGGGTGACAAAGTCCTAGTGATATATCTATATCTAATTTATACTTAGCTGTAAATGTTTCTGGCGTTTGGAGAATTATTTCTTAGGTCATTTCCACCATTTTTTTTTTTTTATATTTCAAACTGATCCTATTAACTTGAAATGAAAATAATTCTACAATTTTTATTAATGCTTTAGGAAAGACTGTATAACGATATATTATAATACAGAAGTTTCTTTTATTTTGGGCGATGATTGGACTGAATTCCCTAAATTGTATAAGCTTCCCTATCTTTTACTGAATTCCTAGAATATATTTAGCTCGTGTCAGCATTTTTTATTTTTTGATCTTATGCATTTCTAATATCCTGACACCTCCCAGGTAAGGTAAATGAGTTTGTGTGGGTAAGATAATGATGGTAGTTTCAAACTTCAGTCATCTTGAAAGGTTCTGAAACCTTGTTTTGGAAACAAATGCTAGTATTTTAAAATACACTTAATAGCAAAAACAATTTTTAAGTTGAAATATCTGGAGCAATTCCAGTTATGCAGTATGCAATGCTGAATAACTCTCTTCTGAGATATTGGGACATTTATAAGTAAATTTTTTTTAAATTTAAAATTAAAAAAATTTTTTTACAAGTAACTTGTAAAATGTGTAAAGTATGCTGACTCGAAGAGCAATCCATATACCTGATACTTATAAAAATTAATATAGTAGTATGCTTCTAATTGACACATCCCTTGTGCAAACATGAATCAATACAGTTAAAGTTTCAGATGCATTTTAAAAATGGTGACCTTAGTCTGTAATAACCACTCTTAGATTTATAGGGCAGGGTGTCTAAACCATTCCAAACTGTGTGCCTCCAACTGAGTTCTCTTAATATTATTTTAGTCTCACTTATGTTTTAGAGACCTGTTACTCATAATATTTAGTAATTATGTATAATTGAGGAGAAAGATACACAGGTCAGGCTGGAGGTATAAACACCTCACTTCCAAATGCCACCATAGTCTCCTTTATCCCAACTCTGCGTTTGTTTCACCTTTCGGCTCTTATCACAGTTTATACCTGTAGTATAAACAGTTTAACTGTAGAAGTTAGAGTTCTATTTGTTTTATTTTAAATATAGATGATCTCGAATTATGGGAGCACCACAAAGCAAGCTCCCTTCCTCCCACCCCCAGAAAAGACTGTGAATACCAAGGGCACTGAGTCTGCACAGCTGGACTGTGCCTCGCCATGTCTCAGCATATCCAGAGGAGACGTGGACGAGGGGCTGCTGGCAGTGAATGGGCGGGATGAGTGTGCCATCACACTTAGAGCAAGTGTGGGTCTTTCATACTGCTCTTCATGTCTTCTGTGTTTTCTCCAATTTTTAAAATAAAATTCTTCTATTCTGTGTCTTAGAAAAGAAGATATGGTGCTCAGTGATATGCTGTGGAGATATGACAGCAAATCCACTCAAAAATGAAGAAAAACCTTACTTCAGAAATGAAGGCTGGAATAAAGGTGAAGGAACTAACTTCCAAGTTCAAATTATCTCATTTGGGTATGAGTACCATTTTTTAGAACAAGGGAAAATATTTGAAGAAAGGAGAAAATGCTAAGTCAATTCCATCGATGGTGGAATGAAAATGCATTGGCTGAGCAATGAGATGGAAACGTGTGTGACTATGTGGATGCCTGGTCAGAAAACGCCTATGCCTCTGAAGTTTAAAGTCTAAACCAATTGATGAATTTTAGCATACGTGCTTGAATCAATAAAGGAATGGTGTGATTACTTCCAGAAGAGAAATTGTTGGCCCAGCATCAGGATTTAAGGGAAAACTTGAAGCGTGCCTATAGAAGTAGCCAAGACTTTTTCAGAAAATTTTATTTAGGTCATTGAAAGGGAAGGCAAGTATTTGCAACTTATATATATATATATATATATATATATATATATAATATAAATTAATTAGTTAATGTTTGTCTGCACTGGGTCTTCATTGCTGCGTGCGGGCCTCCTCTAGTTGTGGTGAGCAAGGGCTGCTCTTCGTTGAGGTGCGCGGGCTTCTCATTGCAGTGGCTTCTCTTATTGCAGAGCACGGGCTCTAGGCGCATGGGCTTCAGTAGTCGTGGCTCGCGGGCTTAGTTGCCCCGCAGCATGTGAGATCTTCCTGGACCAGGGCTCGAACCCACATTCCCTGCACTGGCAGGAGGATTCTTAACCACTGCACCACCAGGGAAGTCCTGCAATTTATATTTAAAGCTGAGGAAGCAGGGCTTTGGGGAAAGCCAGGACCCTGCAAAACCACATTCTTATAGAAGGAAATAGTACTGCTGGTTACTGGGAGATGTGCAGGCCTCCTTTATGGAAGCTTGGTGATGAAAGGGAAGAGCACAGGATCAAGAAAAATGAAGAGATGTCAATTTTGTTCATTAATGTATCCAAAGTGCTTAGAACAATACCCAACATGTAGCGGGTGCTCAGTACATACTTGTTAAATAATGTTTGAAGAAGCCTCAGCTAGTCTAGTTCATACTAAAAAATAGCCATAACATAGATTTTACAGGGTGTCAGGTCATTATATTGCATTTTTTTTGTTCCATTAATTTTGTAATCATAGTTTGGCATCTAATGGCTTTTCAGAAAGCTGAGTTCATAACATGGCCTCAGTAGGAAGAAAACGGGGTCAGCTTGTGATGGCCAGTCACAACTCTCCTTAGGAGTCAGTTAAGTTTGCCTACAGTCATTTACCTTGTTCTTTTCTTTTTCCCTCTTCTTTTTCCTAGGGGCTTCCAAATAACTGTCTTTATATTTTACTGTTGTTTTCTGTTTTTCTTTTCAGGTTGCTTTCCCTTTATATCACTCAGTTTGTTAGCTGAGACCTACTGAACACAACCGGTCCCCGACCCTTACCACCACCACCAAAAAAAACTCCACCAAAAATAAAATGCCCTAATGATATTTAGAATGCAGTAATAGTCTTGGAGGGAGACTAGACTATCTTAATATGTGAAGTGATATTATATATAATAAACAGCAGTGCCACTGTCTTCAACACCTTTGAAAGTCACTGGCTGGCGCTTCGGACCCTCCAGAGATGTCCTATTTTATCTCCTCCTCTCCTCATTAAACTACTCTGCTCACAGTAGAATTGAAGGTACATTTTACAACTTATTATTAAACATTTGTATTTTGGTTTCATTTAGTTCTATTATTGCAACTACGTGTGAATCTATTTTAAAATTGGAATGCTGCAATAATTCAGCTACTTGCTTAATACATATTTCATGTGATTGCCAGGAAACCTAACCATTTGCGGCATTGTTTCTAAGGGATAAATGGACTTTTGGATCATATCCTCATTATAAATAAGAGGCTGCCCGTACACTTAATAAGAATGGGGTTTGTACCAGGTGTTGCATAGGAAACATTAGATGGAAAACTATAGACCAAATGATTTTTGCTGTGCTAAATTTCACACGTAGAGAGATCTTGATTTGCTTCCTAACTCTGTCACTGTTATGCTGTTGATTTTAATTTTAATTAAAACTTTTTGCCCATTTTCTTGATTCCTGGAACTCTAGAATTTTGGAAATAACAAAGCATATAGCTGTCTTTTCTTCAGATGTATAGAGCTTTAGGTTATAAAGGTCCTTTAAGTTTAGCACACATGTTAGATAGTACACTTCATTCCATGGTAGTATAGTTTCCTTACTTGCTGAGTTAAAACTGTGATTTTTGTCTTCTCTGAAAGAAGAAATAAATTTTAAGTAAAGAAAACAAACAACCAAACTTCAAATTCTTATCAGAAAATCATCAATATTACTTTGGACTTAATAATTCAATAAAAGAGAATATATATCTGAATTGTCCTTACTATTTTTTCATAAGCATATTACCACACATAACCATGCTTTAAACTGCCCAATTTTCATGAACAAAGCAGAAGAGGATCTGAGCCAAACTGAGAGTGAATTAGATGTGTGAATATTGAATACAAATTACCAGTCACTGTCCAGTGTTTAGAATTTTTATCTGTGCCCCTTCCCGTTCACAAAGAAAATCAAGACACTTCCATGGCATGAAAGTGACGTCATTATCTTGAAATGATTAAATTTAAAATCTCAGTTTGTTAACAGACAAAACATTTCTTTCTGTCTGTCTCACTGAAACATACCAGATCTACCTTCTCTTCTTTTGCCTTCAACCATTTTCTTGAACAAAAGCAGAAAGAATAAAAGATCCTGGCTTTTGTGTGTTCTGTGTAGTTTATGTGCTAAATGGTAGTCAACCATATAAACGATAGCAGAAACTTCCTTTTGGAAGGTCTTTCATCTCTGAAAGCAGCTTACTGTAGCCATCACCGTTAATTTTATTACTGGCACTCAGGAATAAACCTAGTTAACTGCAGCTTCAGAGTATATTTGCATATAATGACTATCCTGGGAATTCACAGTTCTGGGGTAAATAGCCCGTTTTCCACTTTGATGCCTCAGGGTGGTTTGAGTTTTAAAGCACTAATAACACTGATGGACAATGGGCAGTTCACAGTTTTGTTTCTTTATTTCCCTAAAGTACATCAAAGGGGATTTCGCTGGCTTAGCAGTGATTCACACTAATGATACCTAGAAATTTCACCTGACCATAAGGTCACCGGAAGTCAGGCATGTGATGTGGTTGTCAAAAGCAAACGTGTTTTGAACTGTCTTAATAGAGCAAGAACACCAGTCACTGTACACTGGGCTGGTCAGATCGTTGCAGTCCTAGGTCAGATGGCAGGGTCCCACTGTAAGGAAGGCATTGCCAAAGTGCAGTGTCTTCAGAGGATGCTGTGGAATCTGCTATGCCCAAAGCAACTGGAAGCATTACTTCAGGAAGTTAACTTGCAGTCCGTAACCTGAAATCCCTGAGAAATGGGCAGAGAAAATGCTTGCACTTTTTCAAAGCCAGGCTTTGTCTGAGGAGTGATTCGTTTTTTGTTAGAGGCTGGATGTACCACTTCATACATTGACTCCTAAGAAGGCTTTAAGAGTTGATATGCCGAACATTGTGACTTTCTTTACACCTAGGAAAAAAAAATCTCATTCACCAAATATTATTCTTAAGCAACATTTTGACATTGTCATAGCAAACTTTCTCAAGGCCTAGAGGAATGGAAACACCAGTGTGGAGGCTTTTTTCAAAAATATTAACCTTTACAAAATGAAATGGCATTTGGATTTAACGACATGGAGCTCTACTATATACACAAACTCCATGAATGCCTTATGTCCGCAAGTTCGGTTCAAACTTCAATGTTTCGGAGTGCTTGCCTTGACCAAGAGAGAAAACCTTGACATTTTTCTGCTCTATAATTTACGGTTTATTACATCTCTTGTAACTATTTTTTATTGTTTATTTTCCATTGTTTTCCATGATATATATCAATTTTAAACCTTGCAGGATTGGGAAAGAATTAAGGTTTTTAGGTAATTATACTTTATATTTTCTTCAAGGTTTCCTAAACCAGATCTCTTTCTTTGCTCATTTTTATCTAGATAAAATTTCACCTGCTACAGTAATGTAGAGTGACTTGATATAAGGTGCTCAGAATAGTTTCAATCATCCTTAAAAAGCGTATATTTCTTGAACATGTGAATTTTTATTCAGTATTTTAGCAGTGAGAATGGCTTCACTGGACAGTGTAAGACTTGATGCTGTATTTGGTACATTCCCACCAATATGTAAGACCTCATTTCTAATAAGAATTTAGGAAAAACAAACCCAGGAAAGTAGATGGTACTCTTAGAAACACTTCTAATGGATTGTTCTTTTCAGATAACAGTTTGAATGTCATTTTCTGTAAGTATACCCTTAATTAGTGGGAAAATTTTCAGTGTATTAATAAATTAGCTTCAGAAAGATGAGGTTGGCAAATATTTTAGATTATTCAAAATACTTAGTGGAGCATCAAATTAACATTTGCCTTGTCTATAAAGGAAGCACCAGCAGTGCAGAGTGAAATTATTTTACCTAATAATGATGCTGAATGGTATCTCTTTTGATTTCAGTTTATCCTTTCACATTTGACAGTTTGGAACAAGTAGGCATAGAGTTTTGCATTTCTTATTAACCCAGTCCTGATGAAATGGATTGTCTTGTGCTAGAATCTATCCTACTTGAAAAAATACATATATGGTTGTCCTATATTGCCAGGAAGGCCACAGTAGCCAAACAGAATGCTCATTCTCCCATTTTCACAGCTAAATAAGAATAAAATAGTAATATAATCCATAGCTAATCACCAAGCAGAAAACATGTACCTTGATATGGGGAAATATATCTAACTTAATAAGCTGATATAAAGAACAGCAATGGTTTATGAATTATGCCATATGCATTCATTATAAATATTCATCATACTTGAATTACCAAAATGAAACTTAATCTTTGAGAATCCAGATATAACATTTATTTACTGGCATTAGTTAGGGAAATTTCAGTTAGGGAAATTAAAAGAGAAATATATTCACTTGTATATGTACATCCACAGTGATCAATAATGTCACTAATTTGTTTTTGCTATAGTTTTAATATCATATTGAGGTTCACAAACATTGTGCCTCAGGGGAGCCTCTTTAGAGTGAGTCACATGATGGCTTTACCTTAGTGAAGTCCCTGTAGTCCAGGGTCAGATCACTAGAGTACCTCTCCTGATGTTGGGTCATCAGTAACTGACTCCAGGAGACTGTCACCAATCTCACAAGGAAACTGATCAGTTCACAAGGTTGCCTTGGAGTTAAATTAAAATGAGGCATACAATTGTCATAGAGACCAGAGGAAGTAATGTTGCCCTAGGAAAGCCACATGGGAAACCAAATTAAAATCAGAATATTGCTTGGTGAGCAGTGAGTCAGAACAAGAGGAGCTTGTTGCATGATTAAAATAGCTAATAGTGCCAACTTATAATAACCCAGTGCATCTGCTGCCGTCATTAGGAATTGGCTGCCACGGGAGCCACATAGTTGAGTTTGATGTATTAATACCATGAACACTTTGCGTGGTAGCCAGCTTGTGGACTGGGAGCCACTCTGCTTCCCAGAATGACTTTTGCTACAGTTTTATTACTTCCCTTTTGAAATGACTTTACAAGATTAACTCTTAATATCTTGGAAAGTCTGCTGATAACAGCACAGCATAGTGAAAAAGAACACAGATACTGGGGTCAGATCATTCTATGTTTGATCCTAGTTCTGCAACTTACTATCTCAATTGTTAACCACCGCAAGATCAAGTTTTTCAAATTTGTAAAGTGGAAATTATAATATTTCTCTTTTAAGGATTAAATATCATCGGTGTCAGCTCAATAAACGGTAGAGAGCATTGCATGGTGTTTAAGAGATTGGGTCTGAAATCAGATAGACCTGCCTTTGGTCCCAGATCTACCATTACTTTCTTCTCTTAGCCTCATTTTATTCATTTCTAAAATGTGAGAATAAAAATGTTGCCCCAGAGAGTAGTGTTAGGATTAAATGAAATAAAAATAAAGCATTTATTACAGTTTCTCATTAATGCATGCTCAATAAATGGTAGCTATCCATATAAGTAAGAGCACGATTTAGTATTCCTTCCATGGCTAAGAATGAACAGCACTGTAGTGAGTATGTCTTGAGCGACAGTCAATTAAAAAATAATACTCAGTTTCTCATGATCCAAGGGATCATCTTTGGTCTGAAGAGTTTTCACTATTCTTGTCAGTCATTCAGATTCTAATGAGTTTAGGTAATCACTGGGAGCGATTACCCTTGAAATTGATGGGCCCTTGTGAAGGGACTCAATCAGCTCCCTTTGTCAAGCGCAGCATCAGAACTGCCCCTGATTAACTGGGGCCTCCAGGGTGTCGAAGGCCTCATTGCCTTAGGCTCCCTGGAGCCTAAGTTCGTTCGAACGACCTTTTTGGCCAACCCAATATATACGGGAAACCTTATTTCTAGGACAATATTGTTTTGGGGATTATTTAGAAAATGCTGATTTTCCCCCAGCAAGAATCTGGCTGCCTTTTCTCTGGAATAACCTGAAAACCTTTCAAAAGAAAAATATTAGAAATTATAGGTAGGGGAAAAGCTTTCAGAGAAGAGCAGGTTGTGGTGGTCACTCTTTTCATAAGGCAAGAGATGAGACATTGATGGAAATTAAGATGAGATAGAACTTGTATAAGTGACATTACAAAACTGATCTAATTTGAAGATATGATGAAATGTATACTACAAGGCCTAATCATGATAAAACTGAGACTTTTTGCTGCAGGCAACTGCAAAATTAGAAAAATGTTGAAAGAATGAAGTATTTTCTGGCTTTGTCTGTCATGAGACCATCGGGTATATATATAATGTGGTTATTTAGTATATACTGTTGAAGCAGATACTTCAGTTTCTGTAGAAGGTAACTGTCAAGTGGCCACTATGAAATTTGCCTGGAAAATAATTCCTCCAGGTGATTTCTGGGGTGTAAGCTTGATTCCAGCCTAGCATTAAACAGATCAGAGTATCTAAGACTTCTTGAAGTTACTAGAAACACTTGTGCACGAAATTCAAAAGGCTCAAACACCACACATCTCAAACTAAAACCTTGATTTCCTACTCCCCGCCAGACTTGCTTTTCCCATCTTGGTTGCTCATGCCCCAAACCCTGGATTTATCTAAAACTCCTTTCTTGTTCTCACAATTCAGATTCAATCTGTCAGGAATCTCTTCCAGCTCTCCCTTCAAAATACACCCAGAAACCAACCACTTCGTGCTCTCTCCTCAGCTACTGCACTGCTGTGAGCCACCATCACCTCTCACCTGCATTATTGCCAGTCTCACGGTCTCTCTGCTTCCGTCCTTGCCTCCTACAGTTGTTTTCTTGTACTAAATTTTCTTTTTTTTTAATATCCTTATTGGAGTATAATTGCTTTCCAATGGTGTGTTAGTTTCTGCTGTGTAACAAAGTGAATCAGCTATACATATACATGTATTCCCATCTGTCTTCCCTCTTGCGTCTCCCTCCCACCCTCCCTATCCCACCCCTCTAGGTGGTCACACAGCACCTACAGTTTTTACTCCACACAGTAGTGCTCATTTAAGTTCTATGTCAGATCCCGTCACTCTTCTATGCAAAACACTGTGACGACTCCTCACGGCAATCAAACGAAAACCAAAGTCCTGAAAACTACCCACAAGGGCCTCTACGATTTGATTCTCCATTACTTCTCCGCCTCCTACCCTATTACTTTTCTCTTATTTACTTCAACCCAGAGACACTGAGTGCCCTTCTTTTCTACGATCTACAAATCTGACTATTCTAGAATATTGCCACCCAAAGAACAGCATGGCGGAGCTAGATTTATAGATATAGAGTACAAAGAGCCAGTATTCTGGAAAATGAAAACAAAGACACACAAGACCATGAATATTAATAGTCTGTGCGGATTTAGAATTAATTCTAGACCACTTTATGCAGAGTTTATCTGGGATATTTGAAAGAGGTAATTTAAAAATATTTAAAAGAAAATATGTTAAAGCAGAAGAAATATGCTTATATAAAAACATTTTGTTAGAAATTTCTGTCAGAATAAAATATAGCTATTATTAGCAATATTTGGAAGTGTGGATAGGGTCATAAAACCTCAAAGATGAATATCTAACTTTGTGAATGTAATACTATGTAAACTATTCACTCTCGCCTCCAAATTGTTCATTAGAATCATATTCTTGATGGACGGACCATTATGTTAACTCAGCTTTATACTTTTTATGATCTCAAGTGTTGCTTTTCTAGAGTTTAAATATAATGATGAATATATATGTATAAGATGTTTTCATAATTTGGCGTGATTTTTTCTTTCATTTTTAACAAAAATGCAAACAGCTTTATTGTGCTAGTTTTATTATATGCATGATGCTCATTGTATATACCAAACAGAATATACCATTATTAGGAAGAGAGTAATGGTTACCTGAAATCCCAACCAACAGAACATTTTGGTGACTTTTCTTTCAAATTTATGTACAGACTTGCAGACACCTACATACTGACATAGACACACATACATGAAAATCTACACATACATGATCATAGAAATACTGGTTTTATCATCATACCTTTTGTCTATCTATCTATCTATGTAGTAAATCTTTCCTTTTCTTATTCAAATTCCTTTCACTCCTCCTAAACTATATTAATAGTCTAGTGTATATTCTTCCATTCTCCTCTCTATATTTATTTAACCATTTAATCACAAAACACACAGTCATACAGAGACATTTTTGTCATTGTTATAAAAAATACAGTTATGGGCTTCCCTGGTGGCGCAGTGGTTGAGAGTCCGCCTGCCGATGCAGGGGACACGGGTTCGTCCCACGGTCCGGGAAGATCCCACATGCCGCGGAGCGGCTGGGCCCGTGAGCCATGGCCGCTGAGCCTGCGC